ACTGGAAGGCTCCTGACTTCCCTCAGTCTTTCCTTTGGCTGCTCCAGCCTTCTCCGAAAGACAATAAATGCAAGGTCTGGCTCTTAAAATTAGAGGTCAATTAGATACTTAATGATGAAGCATATCTTCAAATATATATCTATTATTATTATCCTAGCAAAAAATTAATTAACCAGGTCATGCAGGCCATGAAGGCTAATGTACAAGGTAATTATTTCTGATCTTTAGACAACTACTTCACATAAATGGTAGTCTTTATTCTACTCAGCAGATACCTGAAATGCCTATAGTTAATCATATCGAAGGAAACAAAAGGCAAGGTTTATCTCCTTAAAAGGTGAGAGTACATCTCAAATTATTCTATTTAATGGTTTGCGAACAATCATCTCCTTGCTTATAATATTAATATTAATATCTCTTCTGGTTAACATTTTCTTCAAGAAGCTTCAGTGAAGAGATAAATGTTTGGTTTTATAAATAAGCAGCATGTATTACAACATTTATCTCTTCAGTGAAGCTTCACTCTACTATTAAGGGTATTTGAGAATTTTTCATATGTAGTGTTTTCCGTTTTGGTTGTGATTTATTCCTGTGTGCTATTTGTATATTTTGTTTGTCTCTGTGTGTTTGTCACACATGGAAGAGCACCATTAAATGTGTGTTCTCTTTTCTTCTTGAAGAAAATATCTGCAAAGCAGCATCAATGACATTTAGTTCAGGCATTCTACAGATTGAGTTGGCCATTTAATGCATAGATTAGAAGATGAAGGGAGGGGAATTAATATTGTATATTAACTATAAAGATTAACAAAGAGCTAAGAATCTCAAGTTTCACAAGTACACCCAGAAAGGTAGATGTGTATGAGTTGACTAAATCATTGGCCCAGGAAGCCAACGCCCAAATAAAATCCCAACCAGCCAGTCCATTCTTTAGAGACCATTTTTGTTTGATCAGCAATGTGAAGAAAGGACACTGCCTGTACAGCACACAATACAAGCCACTTGACTAACTATAAAACTGGGGTCTGAAGGGCCATGAATAATTGGACAATACCATTCATGCCTGGAGAAGTAAGTTTCTTACAAAGATATTTTAATGTGCTGAACTCTCTTACAAAGATTACGTTCTAGCAGCATAATGCCATCGTTAAATGTGTCCCTATAGGCATGCTATCAAAACCAAAAAATATGGTATGTTGTATCCATAAGAATATCTTCTATAGATTCAAAAACCATGGTGTGGCCACATGAAGTTAGATAGATAAATATGTGGATGGATTAAGAAATCAGAATATATAAAATATTTTCTGTTTTTCTTAGACTAGACTTATATATATAATCTTTGATTAAAATACTGCAAATATGCTTTGGTATGTCCAATGGATTAAAAGTGAATTTTGTTTACTAGACAACAAACATAACTCATAAATAAAATGCTCCAAGAGATTGGCTAGGATACTATATAGTGCAATGAGTAATAGAAGGTGGATGAAATTATCTGTCCTTTGGAATTACAGCATGAGAATCAACATTCCCAAATCCAAGGATCCATATTCCATGACCTATTAGTTTTGCTTTCCATAGAGTTGATGAAAAACTGTGCTACTTCGGTTCTGGAAATATCAAAAATGTCTAACTTTTTCTGGCCTCCATATCAGGGAAATTACTTAATATGTAATAAATTAGAGGAATCACCATTTTCCCCAAAGCACAGAGGGATTTAAATTCGCTAAGCAAAGAGTCTCCTGAAAGATCTGTTAATATTAAAGCATTTTAATAACCATTTAAAGTTATTAACCTGATTTGTTGATGGTAAAAATTGACTCATCAAAAATATAAAAACATTAGTTCGCAATATCATTCATCTTACTTTTTCAACATGGTTCACATGGCCTTAAAAGTATGTCTTTAAAAGTTCAGTTAGGATTTACTACGGCAAAATTATGTTAAAAATTACATTTTAGAAAGGAAAAAATATATAAATGAAAAGATTTTAATTGCAGACATGTTTTAAATGACAGCAAATAAGATAAGCCTATAAAATAGCATTACAATACTATCTTAATTGTGCATTTTCCTATTCCTAATGAAAAATCCTGCCTTTACATTTGTACAAACCATTCAGGTTTTCATTTATTTTCACTATAATAGGCCCAGATGTGTTTGTGTGTGGTTGTTACCAAAGGTTAGACAGTCTTCCCTTTCTTTCTATTACAGTTTGCAAATTCCAAAACAGTACTAATTCAGAAGTCAGCATTCTAAACTAGAAGTAACGAACAATCTCGAATGTAACCACCTGATACTCATGATCCATAGCCATTTGCCATGGCTTAACCTTGCTGACCATGTTAACTAATAGGTTCCAAGACTCGAGGTTTTAAAAGAAAAAAGGTCAAATTTACTATAATTGTCTCTGTATTCCTTTGCTTTCAGAAGAGAAGCTAGGGTTTGTATTTATCATCAACTCTTTGTTATATTTTGTTTTCAAAAAGGAGAATGATTCTTTCATGATAGAAAAACATTTAAAGCATGTCTTAAATCTCATATTTTGCTGAAAAAATATATTAAAATTAGCCCAACAATAATCTCTCTCCTAAATTTGATCATATCTATGGCTTGTCAAAAGCCATTTTTGAAAATACAGTTAACCCTTCCAAAAAAATAACTTAAAGTCTGAATATCAAATATCTGCTTTTTAAGTGTCAGAGATGAATATGTTTTGTGTAAGGAATATTTTTCAGCATTTGAAAAATTCTTTGAATGGTCTCATACTGATAAGATAAATACTGACAAGATACACAGTGAAGCAGGACAGAACGAACTGTAAATACAGGTTATTGCTTCCTCTTATTTTTTAAAATATGAATTCTTGTTACAAAGAATCCTATATTTCTAAGATGAATGTAACTGACATTTTGAATCTCTCTAAGATTTTATAATTTATACTGCTGGGATCAAGTGTTGACTAGCTTCAGTTTTTAAAAATTTAAACAAAGGAAAATATCTACAAATGTTAAAAGCAATTAAACTCCAATTAGAAAATTTGAAAAAACAATTTTCCCATCTTCTCAAATTGAACACTCTGATGAATAATATTTTAAGATCAAGTTCTAGATTCCTGAAAAAGACATCAATTTCATGTAGTCAAGTTATAACTATGAAATCATATATAATCAATAAATACTAAAAATATTTCATAAAAATACTCTGAAGTGATTTATTTGCTATTCATCTGAGAACCTAAGTACCACAGAGCAGACATCAATTAAGTCAGCCAGTTAATTTAAACAACATTGAACTAAGAAGTGAAATATATTCAAAATAAATAAAGAAGTAAGTAATAAAGAAGTAGTAAAAACATTAATAATAAGTGACTGTTATGGGAACATCTCAGGGAACTTCTTCCATTCATGCTCTACAAATATGAGAAACAGAACTAAATGATCAGGTTATTTAACACCTACTGAGTTCTTAGAGAGGGATCTAGAGAAAAATGTAGGAAGCCACAGGCTAAAAATCTTGACCTTAGCAGTAGGAGACACACTAAAAATTCTAATAAGGGCAGAACAAGGGAACACCTGGACAGTTATTTAATTAAGGATCTCAGCATGAGTTATAAAAGAGATATCAGGATGAGAAATTATTCCAAGATTTAATTGTAAAGGCCTACTGTCAAAAATGCCAGAGACATCCCATTTCCTCTATATGTGAGCTCTTTATTTTGAAATATATAGACTTGAGTACGGAATACAGAATCAGATCTATTTTAAAACAACAACGACAACAATGAAACACTGGTTAAAACCTCCTAGTGAAGATAGCCGGACAAAATGCCTAATTAGGTACTGGTACTTCTTCAAGCACTAAATTGGTACTCTAAACACAATGACTACTACCTGGAACACTAAGAATGATTAACAAAATGAAGCAAGGATCTAAGTTAAAGTCAGTGGCTTTTATCAGTGAGGTAGAAGATTAGAGTGAGCTACAACTTTATGTAAATGATTTTTTTAAAAAATATATAGGAAAATATATTAACCTCAAGGAAAGGAATAAAATAATTCAGAATATATTGCTCTCACTAGGCTGAATCACAGATCTCAGTGACTAGAAATACCCACAGCAATCAAGAATATCCACAGAGGCTGTGGTGGGAACATATAACTCTGGAATCAGTATTCCCAAAGATTAATCACCAGACAACCAGTTCTTTATTCTATGGCTTTCTGGAAGTCATGTACCTACGTTCCTATTCAAAAATGGAGACTGTTTTCTTTCCTACCTCAAGTAGCTGTTAGTTGAATTGACCATCAAGTGTCTAATAGAATAAGAGAAATCAAAATTCCTTCCCAGACCACTGTCATTATGATCTATATATTATGTTACCCTGCCACAACAAAGAAGGGAATTTCTAAATTGTTACGATTAGTCAGAAACAAGTTATTCTTCCTTTTTAGACTATAAGCTCCTTGAAGACAATTATTCATTAATCTTTATTTTCCCTCGGCATCTAACAAAAATGCAATTAATATCTGTTAAAGAACAAATTAATTATTACCAACCTTTTCCCAGGTCATAAGGTTCATCTCATAATTGGTCCAATTAGACAGTCTAACAAATAAACAAACATAAGCTTCTCCCCATGATACTATTAAATGGCAACATACAAAGCAGGAATTAGTTTGTGACAATAAAAATAGCATGTGTACACTACCTTGGAAACCATTAGGTTTCCACTAGATTGTGTTAGGCAAATGGCAGAAATTAAGAAGATACGGTTTTTTTCTGCTTATGCATCACATCAGAAAAGAATGCTTTGACTACCACTTAGTCGATATTGCCTACATCCACTTATACAATTGTATACAACATCCTTGAATAGCAACCGTATGTATTGGTGCTATTTATAAGAGAGGGGTGTATTTGCAGCATTTTAAATTCCATTTTCAAGGAGGAAAGTATCTAAGTCTAATCAGAAGAGAGTAATAAAATACACTGACCTGGATCTGTTGCTGCAGGAGATTAATTTTGTGCTGCTGTTGCAGAAGTTGCTGCTGTTGTCTTGCAATCTATCAGAAATAAAGTTTCATTAAGTTAAAATGAAATGCTTACACCTTTGCCATTACTTCAGGTATCCCTTCTGGTATTATAAGAATATTTTACTGCACTTCTATGTGAAAGAGTTCCTATAAAATGAGAGAGGCAGAATCAGAAAGTTGGAGAAAAGGGAAAATCTCAAACAGGTGCCATTTTTCTGCTTACCCCTGACTCTTTATCTGTAGGTAAAAACTACCCCTTGTATTACATTCGTAAGCAGTTGATTATATCTGTACTGGTCACCTGGAAAGAATGGGAATTCTGCAATCTGATCCTTGGAGAATAAAGATGGAAAAACGCTGGCTATATTTTTCTAAAGAGCTTAATTTGGATGTAAAAAGTAAAATCTGTGAGCAAATACGGGAAAGAACGTTCTATTAATTATAATATGGTCGACTTTAATGAAATCTTTTCTGATGTAAAGACTTTCATAACTGATAAGACAAATAGCATCAAGAGAGTGCCAAAATAATAATACAGCAAAAAGTCAAAAATCTATCTCTTTTTGTTGATGTGATACATAAAGTGGTTTTTAAAATAAAATTTAACATTTATCCATTTTTCCTTTTTAGGGTAATGTATTAATTTTACAGTATAGGATACACATACAAGTGTTATATTCCCTTGCTTCATCCAACAATCAAATTCAACATCTTAACACATCATCTGGTCTATGAAAAAAAATATTAACCATTTAATGCAAGCCCTATTGAGGACTGAATTTGCCCCTCAGGAAAGCAAACTTCTTTGGGATAATGGTTTTTACTATAAAACAAGAGTTAGGCATCAGGCTGCTTATTGCCTCAAAAGCTGAGCTGCTATAGCTTAAAGCCCAGGGGGTTGCCCCTTAGTGAGAACATGCTCAATCCAACCAAAGTAGCCAGAGAGAAAAGTGGCCAAAGAGGACTTAGAAGTACTTGGTTTAGTGGTGCCCTATAGGCAAAAGTTACGGTTTTTTTCTTCCTATTTCTTCTAGTCCCGAAAGCTAATATTCTAGAATGGGCAACGCTGGAAGTAGAAATGAACATATGCTTCCTGAGTCTTTCTGAATCTTTAGCCTAGAGCAGAGGGAAACATCCAAACTACATTTTCATTCAGCAGAAGATGAGAAAATAGCAATCGGTTCCCAATTGTTGCTTTAAGGTTTCTGGTGATGACTGGTTCATACTGAAAGTCATGATAAAGTTGCCCCTAACATAGGCTACAGTTTGAGTAATGGGACCATTCCTCCCCCAAGCTTTATAAGCAAAATGGAAACAGTATTTAATCAGGTTGGAAAGATCCACTTTGCTTGTTACCATTCAAATCAGAAGTGGACAACTCACTCTGCCGCTCTAGGTATAGATGCTGAATCCTCTGCATATTTATTTCTTCTTAGTAAACCAGTGAAACACCACTAGGCATCTAATATTGATGGTCCCTCCTAAATGATAAAGTGCTGCATAGAAATGCATCCAGAACACCACAGTGCAATTACTATCATCCACTCTAGACGTATGGGTTTGACACAGTGAAGTATGGTACATAAGCACCATGTGGCTCAAATTCTGAATTTTATTTGCCAATCGGTTGAGCTACATGCTCGCTTCATTGAGCATGACAACCTAGTTTTAAGTGTCATTTAATTTTCATTTTGAAATATAATTACAAAGTGTTCACTGTAAGATATCACTCGTCTGCAAATGTGTCAAGATTAATTTGTGCTAGCTTATTCACAAGTGTCAATAGTTAATTACTGTGTCATCTCTGGATGGCTAAATGACATTCTAACTTCTGATTTTTTACAGTGTTCCTTTATGTTATTTTCCATTAGAGGCTGAGTCCATATTCCTACATGTGGGCAAATATTCAAGCATATAAAATACCAGACGTCACAACTCATTAAAATCAACAGAGCATATATCGCTCTATATACCCCTATAAAATACATTTAACTGAAAAGATAATTCCAGTAATAATGTCAGATTCCTAAAAACTGCACATTAATTTGGGTCTGTCTGATCTAAAGCATCAGGGACTTCTCTATAGGATTGCTGTTGTTAGCTTAATGTACTCTTATGAGACAGGAAAAACATTTGGAAAGGTGATTTATTTTTTAAAAGATATACATTTAAATTTTGTTATTTTTTCTTCTTTCTCACTTCTAAATCAATGAAGTCAAATTCTTATAGGAGACATGTGCTAATTTGTTTTTGATGATTTACCTATGCTATAAATAGAGTGACCATATAATTTAGCATCCAAACCAGGACAATTTTGCAAGGCGTGGGGGAAAATTAAAAACCAGGACAATTTTACATGGAGTGGGGGAAAATTAACACTTACTCTGGAAAACAGACATTAACCAGGGCTATTTTGGGAAAACTGAGATGTATGGTCACCCTAGTTTAAAGTCAAGGAAAATCACTGGACCAGTGGGCTGAAAAATCCTCACCATTTTTCTAGACCTTCATTTTCTGAATGGAAAGAGTAAGTCCTAGAGAGAAGCAACTTACTCGTGGTTAAGTTACATTGGGAATATATGCGCTGCCTACATGAATAAGTACCCCTGAATAATTAATCAAATCCAAATGTTCTGGAACAATGTTATTTCTTTTATGCCCAGTTGCTATGATGCCTTTGTCCTCTACATATGCCCTCGGTATACTTAAAGACTCTGGATTTCCAGAATGCTTCTTTCCTTCTTTTTTTAAGAATGCTCATGACAAATAAACCAATCAATGCGATTACTCGCTGAGCTTGGCACATTCCACATCTCCAGTTCGTCAGCTCCTTTTGCAGGGCTCACCTGTTCTTGCTGTTGGCGAGCAAGGTCCATTTGCTGCCGTTGTTTCTCAATTTGAGAGGCTGCCAGTTTTTTCTGTTCATCATGCGCTGCCAGAAGCTGCTCCCGTAAACTGATCAGCTGGGTAATCATGGTAGAGAGCTGCCGTTCTTTTTCTGCTAGGCTCTCAGGTGTACCTAAAATGGAAGCAAGAAGATATCTCACAAGTTAGAAAAAAGTCTGAATGAACTGAGGAAAGGGTGAGAGGGGGGCAGATTTAGAAAGCGACTACCTTAATACACTTAAGATCTAGGACAATAACCAGAGGTCATTGTGAGTGCAGGAACACTACAGAGTAGGAATGGAATGAATGCTAGGTTAGTCATTAACCTTGCCAAGAAAAAGTATTGTCCCCAATAAAATTCTCACTCATTCTTCCCTCTCACTCTTTAAAACAAAACAAGACAAAAAGCAGAACTACTTCCCCTTTTCTATACCTTTCACCACACTCTCCCCTCCCCCGAATTATCTGATCAAGCAACAAAACCGACGATATTTAGTACTAAAAATTAGAAACCATGCATTGTATTAATATTCTTTAGCCACCTCTATGCTCAGTGATCAACACAGGTGCTTAATAAATGTTATTTTAAGGAATTTTCTGATCATTGCCTTTATAAAATTTTTTTCTTGTGCAACGATCTGTTTCTGTAGCTCAGAAGTCAGGGGTCACTCTCTTGGCCATGGAAAGAGTCCTAGAGGGATAGAGAAAATAAAACTGCCTTGCCTCAGGTAAGAAAGGGTTGAATCTGATTTTTTTATTTCCTTCCTGTGAGGAGATCAAGCTAAAGTTCCCAAGTTCATCCTTAAAGGCAACAATGTTGCTTGTGGGACTCCCTCAACCCTTTGTCATTTGTCATCCTTCAAAGGGAAAACACATTCGAGGTTGAGAAGGTTATGCATGAGGATGTGCTGTTTAATGAATATGATGTCAGCAGACACTTATGGTATGCACTAATGGTGCTGCACAGTCTTTTTGTGGGCAAATTGCACAGCTCTCCTAAGTAAAGGGTACAGAATCTTTTGTGAATCTAAATTAGAGCGTTTTACTACAGCATAAGATAAGGATTTCAACCCACTGTATTTGAGCCATGCAGGTTTCATTATAAAGAAATGATCTATGATTTGAAAGCTTTTCAGAAAGATGCCACCAGCTGTCAAAGGGGACAAAGATTGTTGATTTCTGTGTGTGGGGAAGAAGAGACTTCCAATCTCCTTATGAAACCATCTTCATTCTTACAAGAAGTCTCTAGGGTAATCTGGGAAACTAAAAATATTTTAACTAGTTGCAAAAAAATAAAATAAAATAAAAATATTTTAATTAGGAGTGGCCGTATTTTCTGAGTGGCCCATGGAGAAAGGGAGCCTCCAGCAGATGCTGGCTGGCACTTGTTAGTACCTGATTCCCACATGGTAAGACTGATGTCAGCAGCGAAACTACAACATTTACGACTACCTTGAGATTCTCAATGTCAATCCAAGTCCTAAACAAACAAACTGTCAATATCTCATATCCCTTAAAGATTCACTGAGCTGAATGATGGCCTAAAGTTGAAATTAAAAGAAAAATCAGACAGTTGAGATGATGTTGGAAAATGTATTCCACTGATAAGGGAACAAATATTGTATCAAGGATAGTGACCAGCTGTCTTTCTAGCTACTCAAATTGATTTTTTTTTTAAAGTTTCTATTTCAGTGATAGAAATTTCAGCTTAGTAAAAGAAAGAAGTTCTTCATCCAGAAGCATTAAAATACAAAAGCAGGTTCCCAGAGGGGATCATAAAATTTATTCTAAAGTACCACAAACTCAACTAATATGTACATTTATTTACATATAAAGATATAAAACAAATATGAAATTAATTTCTTTACTCATTTAATTAATTTTTAATTTAAAAATTTCCTGAATGGCACCTATATGTCAGATACTATATCAAGAACTAAGGATACCAATACCAAGGAAAGAAAAAGCAGAGAGTTCCCTACTCTCATGCAATTTGTAGTCCATAGTGGGGGGACACCTTAATTAAGTAATCACACATATAAAGATAAACTACGACTAAATAAGACTTACAAACAATACAGATGTTTGGTATGGGAGAGGTGTTT